CTCTTTGTATCGCCCTCTCTCTTTCTCCCGCTCTTTGTCTCTTCGTTTCTCCTTGTCTCTTTCCCAGTCTCTGTGGGAATCTCTCTCTCTTGTCCTTTCGCGCTCTTTATCCCTGTCCCTTTCTCGATCCCTCTCATTGTCCTTCTCCTTGTCTCTGTCTTTAACTCGTCCTTTGTCTCTATCCTTGTCTCTGCTCCTGTCTTTGCCATGGTCCTGTTCACTGCGGTGATGCTTGTCGGGGCGCTCCCGGTCCCGGTGGCGCTCTTTCTCTCTATCTCTACGTCGACTATCCTGCTCTTTGGGCTGATCTGGGTCCTTCTGTTCCTGACTTCCGCTGCGCTCCGTGATCCTTTTCTTCTCCTGGAATACACAAAGTGTGAGGATTTAATAGCATCCATAGCCACATACTGGGAAATTCATCATCTGAATATCTTATTTTGTTTTTAAACAAAGCCTGCAACTTGTAATGCTAAAGGCTAACACAGAAGCTACATTTTACACCATATGTTGGATTGAGTAGTGTGTAATACATTTAAAATCATAAACTTTGAGTGGAACTAAGGAATCTTACCTCTCTGTCCATAAGATGCTCACGCCCTTCCCTATTCTCTTTGTCCTGGGACCTGGACGTACTGGCTTTGGTCTTCATGTCCACCTTTTCTCCTGTAAGCACTCGCTTCACTGCATCATCACTGGGCACCTACAGATCATTTGCAGGAGGGCCATTCAATTTAATACCACAATAATATTAATGAGAAACATTTGTTCTTGTGCAGGTGTTTACCAGGGGTTTAATATAGAGAGGAATGTCTTCAAATCATATCAGAAAGTTAAAAAGGTGCTACTCTGTAGATGACCTTATGCAGTGACCTTCCCATGAAAGAATTCATGGGAAAACAAAATGACAGGAAATATGTAAAAAGTATTACCAGTGTTAAGAAGGATGCATGATAAAAAAAGCACAAAACATCTTAAAGAGCTGAGCTAATTTGATTGTCATTCTGGCATTCTTTACTGGATTTATGAGGAAGAAAGTAGCGTATACAGTTTATGGGCCAATTCATGTTTCATAAAATCAGAGAGAAATACATTTAAATTGCTAAGAATAGTCCATATGACATCAGTATACAGCTATCTCCCAAGCACCAGCTCATCTGTTTACACTCTATCACAAGGGTGCAATTAAAATATTTGAAAATTCTCCCTGAGGCGGATAGACAGTTTTCCCAAGACAGCAATATTATGATGTGAAAAATAATACACACTGAATCTTCTTTTTATGCAGTGCCATAACATATAATGATAATAATTACATAAGACAACATTATTTTGTACAGTCTTTCAAGAAGACAGACCTTGTTGAGGCAGCACTTGGCAATAGCCTGCAGTAGTTCATTTGTTTTCTCAGGCTCATGGCCGGCCACAATGCGTGCTGGCTTTGCCGCCAGGGACTCGCCACTCACCAGCATCACAACATCTATGGCTTTCTGGAGGTAGGCTATCTTAGAGTCTTTGTCCTACAAAGAAAAAAGAGGCAGTGATAACCAGGAGAGTGCACAGAGGAGGTAAGAAATAGGATGTGGTTGTGAAATAAAGGAGGTCCAGTGTGAGTAATGTCTAACATAAACCAACACAGTTTAAAATGATTAAACCCTTGAGATTCACATATCCTAACATGCTCAGTCCAGCTTAATCAAATCTGTCTGTTTCTGACTATATGTGGCTGAACAATCACAACATGCAGTATGTCCACCATTTACCTCTGATTCCGCTACTTAAAATACCACATTATAGTGTATTTTACCTTGTAATTTGAAAAACAATTACAAATGTGGTTTGACTGTTTCTACCATGTAATGATTAGTGTTCTGAATATTAAAGTCAAGGGCAAAGGCCCAATGAGTAACAAGCTGGTTTTGTAAGGCAGCGCAGAAGAGGACATGGAAAACATCTATAATTCTTTAATTCTAATGCAGATTGTGTTGTGCTGCTGTCAGAAGGGGAAGAACACACAAATATTCACCCTCCCATGATGTAATAGGCCCATCCTTGTGTTTAGGTAAATGAAACAGATCTCAGTCTATGTAGTGCTAGTAATCTATCAGCCTGCTGCATCCGAGAAGCCTGCCAAGTTGTAACTAGTGCAACCATCAGGTGTGTGTAACACCTGATAATCGACTGGCCTTCACAGCGGTCCCTTTATGACCTCTCTATTCAGTAACATGCTTTTGTACAGAGGCTTTCTAGACAACTACTAAAATACATAAAATATTAGAGAGACTGAATCAGTTAAAAGTTACATGCCCTTCAGATAACAGATGTCAAGAATTGTATTACTGTAGAGTCACAACAGTGTGAGCTCACAAAATATTAAGTTTGTGACAAATCTTGAGAAACACATTTGATTTTTGATTTGATTTATTCTTTCAAGCATGTAAAGACAGTTGATATGTCAACACACATAATTTTACACATATCCAACAAATGCTAATCCAATATCAATGTGCTTATACCTAGTACATGCTTGAATGGAGTAGGAAGAAGTCAGACTTATCCAGTCCTACCCCATGACATCATCTTACCATCATTGGTTTGCAAGCAGTAAATGATTCACTTCTACCCACACACATATTATACTAAAAAAAGATTATGACAGTGTTAACATTCTTACATAATTACATTCTTAAATAATTATCTTCTACACCACACAAGTAATATACTAAAGAATTATTACAGAGTGTTAACATTCATACACCACACCCACAATGTTCCATCTAATTAATCATTAAGCCTGTTCTTGAATATATCTTGATTGACACATACCTTTATATTTATGTTTAAACTCATCAATTCTATTACTATTTTTTATGTCCACACTTAAATTATTCCATAGTTTTACCCCACTTATAGAAATACAGAATTTTTTTTTGGTTGTATGTATAACATGAATTTTCAAATTTAACTGACCCCTTAAATTGTATCCCCCTTCCCTTTCATTAAATAGTTTTTGAATTCCACCAGGTAATAAATTGTTCCTGGCTTTATACATAAACACAGACGTCTTATCAGTCAGTTAAAGCAGCAACGTCTATAAAGCCAAAATCCCAAATACTATACAACGTAACAAGCACTTCCCTGCTGCTTACGTGTCAAAGGGTACATCCCAAGTCTCTATAAGTACCGTTACTTCCCTCACTTACATCTTTTCCTTGCCTTGGTCCTGCCCACATAAGATGTGAGGAAAATGTGAGGAGAAAGACCTTGAGGAAAAACGTTATTACCGACATGAGCTGTCTTTTTAGGGTTCTTCATCTGAAGCATCCATTCACCAACAGATTTCTGATAAACGGACGCGTCTGTTCACAAAAACACTTCTGTGAAAAATGGCCTCATGTATCCTTGGTTATGGCTCCTCAAACACACATCACACAGAGACACTGAGGAACCAGGAGACTTGATCCTGAACCCAGGATAAAGAGGTTCAGTGAATGTGGTGTTGAAGGTGTGGAGGTGGATCAGTGTGTCAGAGGAGACGGTGTAGAAGGACAGAGTGCCGGCAGGACAGTCCACATACACTGCTACTCTGTCAGAGACAGAGGAGGACCAGGAGATGAATGATATGTTATTGTGCCAGACATAGTAACCATGATCAGAGCAGAACAGACTCCAGGACTGATCATTCCTTCCAAACATACAGTCACCACTGCCTCCTTTCCTCCTGATTCTTCTGTAACTCACTGATATTTCAACTTCTCCTCTCCACTCAACCTCCCAGTAACAGCGACCAGTCAGACCAGTTCTACACAGCAGCTGAGGCAGGATGTCAAATCTGTCTGGATGATCAGGATATGACTGATCCTTGTCCCACACCCATGTCACCTTCCTGTTGTTGTCAGACAGTTGTAGTTTTCTGTTCACTGTGTTTGTGTCCAGTTCCAGTTCACAGAAATCTGATGGAGAGAAAAAACACAGCTGCAGTTTATCATCTGTTGGTGTATGAACAACTTTACTGACAGTTACTGAGAGGAAATCATTCACACTGACATTTCACATTCACTGTGACTCATGTTTGGCTCCATTCAAACTGAAACAATCCAGTGACACCAACATGAGCAGTAACATGAGAGTCCAGATGTTTCCTGCTGTGGCCGGAGGACGGCAGCTAACGGAGATCAATAAACCCCTGGACTGGATCAAGTCTCACTCATCAACCTCACTCATCATCTTCC